TCAACCTGCTCAGCCTGGTCCGCAGGGAAAGCTCAGCCCCCCAGGTAAGGCTGGACTGGCCCTCCCCTCACAGTCACCAGCTCTGCTCCCACCCCATCCTCAGCAGCCAGGGCTGGAGAACCAGCTCCCTCCCCACAACCACCCTCATGCCCTTTTTTCTCTCCTCCAGGGCCCGTGCCCTGTGGCAGCAGGTGACACTACCTCCCTGAACCAGTTCCTGGTGGATCTACGCAGAGTCCTCCAACGATTAGTGAAAGACTCAAGTTTTAAGTGAAAAAAAAATGTTGTTTTTAAAGCTATATTAACACTGTATTTGTCAAATATTATTTATAATATTTTTTTAAATAAATGTATTTTTTGAGTAAATTTGCTGACATAGCATAAACATTTCTTGGCCAGAAACTGGAGAGCAGAGGAGCAGATGGAAGAGCTCAGAGGTACCAGCAAGGGGCACTGGGCACCTGCTCAGCCCTGTCCCAACCACTAGAAGTCCCAGAGGTGGCCCTGGCTGGGACACAGCACCAAGGCCAGGCCAGGAGCAACAGATGGACACTGCAGGGAAGGATGGGGATTTGCTATCCACACTCTTGGAAAGGGGCAAGTTTGTGACTGGGCTGGAAACCAGGACACAGAGGGACAGTGCTGACTCCAGAGAGCTGAGCAGGAACAAGGTCCCAAATGGAACAGGAGCTTTAGAACCATGAAGTCAGAAATCATCTTTGTTATTTCACCATGGAAATTTCAATAAATGCATGAGGCTACAGGGAAGGGAGGGCAGAGGGCACTGACACAAGGGTGGTTGGTGCTGGTAACCAAAACAGAATTTCCTCTGCTACAAGATTAAGCATTGTGCTACCACAAGGAAAGTGGGTCCAAGCAGAGGAAAAAGTCCAGGAGAAGCCAGAGTGGAAAACACAAGGCCACAAACAGGGCCTGTTTCTGAAAACCATCAACTCTGAAGTGTGTGCCAGAGCTGAAAAGGGAGATGCTCCCCACAACCCAGCTGGGAGTAAAGGGGCTAAAGCAGCAAGAGCAGTCAAAGAAATGACAAAACTGCAACCCTGAAGGGATGACTCCAGCCTCCCTGGTGGATAAAGCCTCTCTAGCTACAGGGAAGTGGAGCTGTGCAGGTATTTAGGTGTCTACCATTTTGCAACTTACTCTGGCCCAGGATGGGAGAGCACATTGGAAAGTCCCAGGACAGGGCAGGGTTTGGTTCCTGTACCACTGAGTCACATGCTGAGGGGAGCTCAACACGAACAGACCACAACCAACCTGTTCCCTGCTGCAGGGGCAGGCTGAGGCAGCTTCCAGAGGAGGAAATGCCTGGCAGAGCAAGACAGTTTATGCAGCAAAGGAGACAGAGCTGAAGATTTCCAATCCCTGCAGGTAAACTCCCACCATCTGCAGGGACACAGGGTGTGCCAGGCTTGCTGTGTAGCACAGAGTGAGGAGCCTTCTCCCCACCAGCTGCCCCCCTACCCAGCACACATGTGAACACAGGCAGCACCAAGCACTGCAATGGACAAGCAGCTGATCTCACAGAGCCCTGGCTCAGCTGGGCTCTCCTCTGCTCTTCCTCCAGGGCAGCTCAGAACAGCCCCAGCAGAGGATGGGCTTGGACAAGGGGCTCACCAGCTCCTCAGGACACACCTCATGATCCACTTTCCAGCCTGATCCTCAAGTGCTGCAAAGCATCCCCTTGTTCTGCCCTGTCCACCTCCTCCACAGAAGCTTGTTGCCCCATCCTGGGGCTTGGCAGGGGGGGGGGGCCCCCCCCCCCCCCCCCCCCACACCTGCTGAACATCAGAGATACACAGACTGTTTAGCTACTCCTCCTGACACCCCTTCTGACCCAGCTGAGTTAGAAAGACACTGTATGTGTAAAGTTATTTGAAATACATGCACAGAGGTAGAAGTAGGAGTCAAGAATTTTATTTCATGGTATGAACATGCTCCAGGGACACAATACTGATATTTACAGCATAATGAATAAAGTTTAAATCACAGAGCAAATAAGAAATAAGTCAGAAAACCAATAAATAGGAAGACAAATTATACAGATGGACTAGCAGTTTCTCCTATATACAGGGCTGGCTAAGAAGGGCTGTTGAGAAAGGTGAAAGCTGGACATGTGCAGACAGTGTCACCTGTGAAGGCACTAAGGACCATTTCCCCCTCCTCTTAAAGAAAGGATCAGGAACAAGTTAAATACGAAATAATCCATTCACACAGCATTAACCAACAAAGTGTCAAAAGCCTCAATGTTCAGGTCAGTGTTCTGGAATGAGGGGAACCTCCTGGCATCAGGATGCAAAGATGAGCACACACAATATATGATTTTTGATAAATACTATAGAGCATGTACTGACCTGAGAAGAGCTTAATGCAGCCATTCTCATAAGAAAAACCCCACACAAACCAAAACCCTTCCTTATGGAAACATGTCATGGACCCACAAGACATTCTCAGGTTGTCCAGGGCTACAGACAGGGCAGGTAAACCTGCACATCAGACTCCCTGGGCTTGCAAGAAAGCTCCCAGAACTTCAACACCCACCAGTTAAAAGGTAAGACAAGCTGACAGATCTTCATCACAATGATAATATCCCACTTTAAGTCCTCTCGTAAGAGCTGATAATTTGTCCTCCAAGCCCCTGCAATTGCAGCCTGCTTCTCCAATCTGCCAATTACAAATATGTGCAAGCAATTATTTAATAATTATTGTTCTCTCTGCCCCAAGGCTCAGTTAAATATATAGTGTACTATTGTTTTCAGCAGCAAGACTGTAACATTAGTTAAGTGGTAAAGCATATGCCGTTATAGTTAAGGTATAAGTATTTAAGCTGCAGTGTCAGCATTCACAGTGGTACCTTTCAGCCACTGATGTCTGTCAGGTGCAAGAATTTTCAACATCTTTTGGAAAGCACAGTTCAGGAGAAACTCCCTTAAAAACAGATCATTCAACAAACCTTGGCACAGAAGAAGGAACAGAAAAGGGAAATACAAACAGTTCTCCCTGGCTGTGGAACAAGAACAGGCCAAAACCATGAGTCTGTCTGCTCAGACTAAGAACTGAGAAGAGGCTTAGGGCAAAGCAGCATTTCAGCCACTTTCAGGCTGTTATGTTGGATGCAACATGAGATAATCCAGCTCCATTCAAGCACACTCACAGTCCGGTGAGCTCTTCAGGAGCAAAACCAACCACAGCTTAGACTGGACAAACATTCTGAATATGTACCTCTCCAACTGGTAGGCTAAAGAAAACAAATGCCAGTGTTTGTATCTGTGTCTTGTATAAACTTAGGTGACACTCCCTCCCTCCAAAAACAGAGGGTAGGACATTCTTCTAGGTCATGATCTTGAAAAACACGTGTAAAACCAGGGAAAAGCTTCCAGCTCACTAAGAACAGCACTGGATGCATCTCACAAGGAAAAGATGCCCTCACAAGCCTAGTTTTAACCAGCACAGATCCTGCTCCAGACCTGTTAAGAGTCACAAGGTACATCCAGTTAAGCATCATGACACCAAGACCTTTAACTACGTACTCTAAGTGCTTCACAAGAACACTCTGGGAACTGCAAACGTGGCTACCAGCAAGAACTCAGGACACCTAAAGAGCTGTCTTGCTTCTTCTGTCACACTTAAAGACTCCACCTCTCCTGCCACTAACCACAGCTTTTTAAGACTCTCAGTAGCAGGAAAATCACATCAAGTGGCAGCTGCTCCCAGCCCCTGGCACAGGAGCTGAGGTGCACCAGCATGGATTACAAAGCACACACAGTGCAAAGGAGATGCATTTTGTGATACAAAAGCAACATGTTAAAGTGATGTGTGTCTATTAGCAGCATAAATATCAAACAAAAAGAGCAGCCACCACAAATCAATGGTTAACATCAGAGACCAGAATTTTTTTCCTCCTGGAGCACAGCCAGAAACCCAAGATGATCCAGCAACACCAACAGCATCAGCCATTGCAGGGGATGTTACTGTCCTGGGAAAACTGGGGAATTTATGCCTGTTTTAATATAGGAGAATCAAATTTACCCTCAGTTTAGAGCCCTGCTCCAGTGCCCTTGCAGCCACAGATGGGAAAACAGAGCCATAATGCTCCCAGACCCAAGGCTGAAGCTGAGTCCTAGTGTTCTAGCATTCCTTTCAATGATCTCTGCTATTCAGACTACAAAACAATTTCTACATTTTAAAAATTCCAGCTCAAAAGCACAAAAAGCAGCCAAAGCAATGCTGCAGCACAGCCTGAAAAGGAAGGGGAAAACCAAACTTTTGCCTTTGCATCAAAGGCCTCACTCTCCACAGTGCCAGCAGGTCCCAAGCAAACAAAACTAACAGCACTACATGGGCACACTGAGGCCTGATGCACCTCAACCCAGCACGGTCCCTTCCCAGCAGCCTCAGACTTTTGCAGCTCACATTTCCCCAACCCAGCTGCTTTCTCTGTACAGCAAGACAGCAAATGGAGGGAAGAGGACTGTGTATTTGGTACACGACAGGTTAAACAGCCACAGTGAGGAATATTTGATGCTCTGACAGGTTTGCAGTGAGCACCTCCAGCCAGCAGTGCAGCAGGGGAGAGCAGTGAGAGCTGCCAGCTGTGTGCAGGGCAGGGCATAAACCAGACTGACCAGCCTTCAACTTTAGGATTTCAATCATTTTTGAGCTAATATGCCTAGCACTTAACACACACACAGAACCCTTAATTTTCTATACATTTCAACAAGGATTGCCAGTAACAGCTTCCCTGCACAACACGTTTAACACATGGAATTTCACAACCATCATATATACCAGTTTAATATTATGTTAATATAACATACAAAATACAGGCAACTAAGGAAAAATACATTGTTGTAAAATAAAACTCCATACCAGCACAGCATGGATTTTATAGCCATGTCAAACTGTGCCACCTCTTGAATTCCAGATTCTGGCCAAATCTTACAGACTCACTGATTTTTAGGGCAATTCTGCACAGGTCACACCTACTGCAGCAGAGAGTCAATGACGGCTCCTGGCTTTGCTGAACGTTTTCTGTTTGGAGAGCAGAAAGGAAAGGGGAAAATAACACCATACACACATCATTATGCTGTCTAGGAAAGACAGGGACCAGCCACATTTCAAGTCAAAACTACACAATGTTACTTTTCACAAGCATTTGTCAAAACCAACCAAAACTAACCAAGGAAACCCACGCTGAAATCTCCCAAGAGCTCAGGACTTTCCAGTCAGTGTGTGCACTGTCAGTGTCAGGTGTTGAACTGAAGCACAGAACTCAGGGAAACAGCAAGAAGCTGCA